GCCGTAGATCCACGCAGTGGAGATACACACTTTTAATCCCAGCAGCCATACTAATTAGCCATAGAAGCCAGGCAGTGGAGGTACACACCTTTAATCTCAGGACTCAGGAGACAGAAGCAGGTAGATCTCTCTGAGTTCAAGTCCAAAGGAATAACAGAGCTCATGCCTTTAATCCCAGCACTAGGGAGGTATACAAGTAAGAAGCAATGGATCTCATGGGAGATTCAGTTTCCAGACAGGGAAAGCATTTGTCTCTGAGGATTTATTGAGCCAGGATCACCCTTCCAGTCTGAGGTAGAGGTAAGAGCTAGTGGCTGGCTGCTCAGCTCTCTGTCTTCATCTTGAACCCCAATATCTATCTCTTGGTTTTTATTATTGTGTTACAACAAATCACCTACTAGATTTTGTTGGGAACCATCCTCATGTCAGGGTTTATCTAGCACTCCTACCCTGCCTCTCATGATGCCAGTACTTACAGTATTTTTCCTTTATTACGGGTCTCTTATGAAATCCTGCCTTTGCTTAAGGTCATTAGGAATTGGAGAATGCACATAGCATCGTCAGCTTTACCCTATACTAAGTGGCAGAACAAGGGTTGGCCTTCTGTCTCTGTCCTCGCCTTTCCCCAAGCTGCCATGGTGCCCTTAGACTTATATTTTTTACTTAAGGACCAATATTATTCTGGTTATTATAATAGAAGGAGTTCACAATAATAGAAAGTAGGTCCAGAAGGTTTCATAGTTGTGAACAGTTTCTTGTATTCATTCATTAGCTTTTACTAGATAGTCTCCCAGCCTGTTTGTTCTGACCTTTTTATTTAGTAGAGATTTATAAGTCCATAATTTAATTGTTGGATCACACAGCTTTTTACTGAGCGAGCCTTGTCCTCTGCCCAGCTGTGTGGGAGCTGCTGGGATACCTGGGTTGACACCTACTGATGTCTCACTGGGCATTATCAGGGAAGGCGGTGTCAGTGCTAGGGTGCTGCTTTTAGTGTGTGTCAGATAGTGTGGCTTGTAGCAGCTTCTCCCCCAGAAATGTCTCTATCCTTTGGAAGGCCTCGCTCTCATTTGAACTTACCTCTGTGCTCCTGAGGTTGTATTTACTTTTACAGTGAAATTGAGAGAATATTTGTTACACTGTTAAAACCTAAAGCCATGGAAGAGATGGGTTTTTTTGTTTTTGGTTTTTTTCTTTTTTTTATCTACAGTGTAGGAAAACTATCTTGAAGGGAAAGTTAAGAGAAGTTTTGAAAACTGGAGTATAAGTGTTAGCTCGCTACTGTACTCTTGATGACCAAACCCAATTTAAGCGACATGATTTCATGCATTCACAATGACTTGTGATAATCCCGAAGATGTCAGGAGAAAGACCACTAACCCAAATCATCATGGCCAAATTTAATTAAAACAAGCAATTAATTAAAGCAAACTTTTTTATTCTTGTACACACAGTACATCCCCTAAGGCAGGGTTCAAGAGATCAGCGTCGAATATAAAGAAGATAGGATTTTATAGCTCAAGGGTCTGTAGGGGGATTGCAGGAGCAGAACACAAGCATAACAATTTAGTCATAAAGACCTCCTGAAACAAAGACTTTTTTACGTGTGTGTGTGTGTGTGTGTGTGTGTGTGTGTGTGTGTGTGTGTGTGCGCACGCGTGTGTATTCATTCGTATTATTTAATTTACTTTTTTCGGGTGGTCAGGGTTTTATCAGATGGACAGCCTAGACAAGGACCTTCCTACTGTCAGGAGTTCATGAGCAATATGGGGAGCTCTCTGTCTGACATGTCTCTCCAGGTCTGGTGGGCTGCCTTAATGCACAGGATTCACACTGATCTCTCTTTAAACCAGCTTCACTACTTTTCTTGTACACCAGCATTCAGCTTTCTTTTGTGACCTTTCTATCAGAATGCACATCCAATCCCATCAGGCTGTGGTTAGCACTATATGTAGGAGAAGCTCCTGTTTGTAACCAGTTTTCCTCTTCATACCTATCGTTGCCTGTATCATTCAAGAGAGAGTTACATGTCATACCTCACTCCTGGGGTGTGTGTGTGCGTGTTCTTGTGTATGGGTGTGGGGGAGACAGGGAGACAGACAGAGAGATACAGAGATGGAGAAAATGAGCACACTCCTGTTAAAATGGAAGCCAGGTAACTTTCCTCTGTTCCAATACCCACAGTGGCTTTTCCTTCAGAATCAACACCAAGGCCTTTATTGTCTGCACCACTGTGACTCTGGCCTTCCTGGTCTGTCCTACACCCTTCTCTCCAACCTGGCCTCCATGCCTCTTTATGCCACTCTATTTCCTCTTCAGCACTGTTAGGCAAGTCCCAGCCTAACAATGTCTGTGGTGCCTTTCCTCCTCCTGGAACTGTCACTCACTGCTTATTTAATGATAGGGTTGGTTCTCCATCCTCTCTCAATATCCTCCTTTTACTTTTCTTTTCCCACAGATCATTACATAAAGTGCTCTTTCTGTTTTTCCTTGTTGCCTGCCTTCTTCACTAGATCTTATATTTCCCAAGACGAATGATTTCATTTGTTCGTATATCCAACATAGCTGCCTAGATATATTCTTCTCTCTGCCCAGTAATGGTTCCATGGATGAGTGTATGAATGAGAGGGATACATGCATGCCTAGCATCATCAATGTATGAAGAATGTTACAGGCTTTGTCCTGCTTTCCCTATTCTTCTGTTGTGGATATAATATGAAACTTCTACAAAGGCCTGACATTACATAGGTTTTCTGTTTTGGTGGAGAACTCACCCAATACCTGGCATATAGCAAGTGACAGTTAACGTGCTGACTTAGAGCTTGAGGGCCCAGACATGGTTGTTTCTCAGCAAGGCATTTCAGCAGGAACTTTTTTGGAGGGACATTTTTGTTCCCAGTTTTATCTGTGAATTATGTTAAAAGTACAAAGTCAGTCGATGATTTATCCTGTGGATGTTGATAAGATAGACATTCACACATCTTTGTCAGTTGGCTTCTCTTTGGTCAGCCAGGTATGTTTTCCATACGTATTTTATTAACCCCATTGTTGTATTCAAACTACTCATATTTTAAATAGGCAAGCATAAAGAATTGTAATTTAAGTTAAACCGTTTGAGCAAATATTTTGCAATTGAACATAAGTTCATGTTCCAATCTGCACACATTTTCTATTTCCCCTAATGGTAGCAAATCTCCTCCTGAGTGTTTACTTTGCAGACTTATGGCTTGTGTTGTGTAAGAATTTCCTTCCTGTTGAGGATGTTCTCCTGTTCAGTGGAACATTTTTGCTTGTTTTTTTTTTTTAGTTCTTAGAATTCTAATTAATAAATGGTTCTCTATTTAAAAAACTGCACTGTGGTTTCTGGGTTCAGATCTCTTAAATTGTACTTGGTCATGTAAATAAGCTGTGCTTTGCAACTTTGGGTTTTTAACCTTTGCTCTTTGCTATTAGCTTTATGTTTTTTTAATTATTGGAAAATGGAGGACACTAGGAAAGTTATGACTTAAATGGACTGTTGTTATTACTGTATTTTTTTCAGGAAATGAAAAATGTTATTTATTCTTTCCAAATCAAGCAGAAACAAATATAGAACATCTTATGCTGTTATTTTTTGGCTCACCACTTAATATTATCACAGTTTGATTCTTTAAATGTGATTATTATCTTTCCATTATGATGATTGATTATATGACCAGCTCTTCATGCTTGCAAACATCCATTGTCGTAGTTGTTATTGCCTACTATATAAAACAGAATGAATGGTGTTTCCAGTGTATGCAAGTTTATTTGAACAATGAAGTAAAAATCATTTAATAATGCTATTATATTATTTTCTACCTACACACATTCATAATATTGTATGAAAATAATCAAATATATGACATTTTCAAAAACAAGTTTTTTTGTTTCTAGACTTATTTTGCTTTTGGATTCTGTTGCAAATCTCTTTTGAGAGACTGCAGTACTCCACATTCTTCACATTGCCCATTTGTGCAAACATGTCCAGATGAATCCAGTGTTTAATGTTAAGAGGCTTATAACATGCCAATTTGATTTGTAGCCTTTCATATCATAGAATGCTAATTAAAATCATATTTTTGCATGTGTCATGCCTTTCATGTACATATGCAAATAGATTCAGTTGCCTTTTAGCTATTAGTAATTAACTTTATGAAGGACAGCTGTAATACATAATTAACAAAAATGTTTGCAAGCCCTTTACACTCAAAGTTACAACAGCAAATCTCTCCCTCCCCCCACCCCCAATTTTCAAATTAGCCATTTTTGTCTGATGCTTCAGCATGAAATCTGGTGCTATAGAGAGTCATATAATCAATGTGCTGTGTGGAAGGACAGTATTCTGTGTGCTGGATACATTTTCTGTTCATCCATACATATGCTTATAAGCTCATCTGTTTGTAAATTAAGATAGTAAGTCAGGAGATACTCTTGCTTGTTCCACTTAAATTGAGAATTTCTTGGCACAAAAGCACATTCTTGTCATATTGTGTTCGTGTTTTTCCATGCTGTAGATACAGTAAACATTTATATCATTTTAAAACCTCTCTTCCAATTACAACGGTGTTTTTAACATAGTTTTACATGACTTATTCATTTTGTCTTTTATAACCCTTTAAATATTTAGTAAAATGACACTTGCTCAAGCCCATATTATGATTGAAGTGTGGGATTGGCTAGGGCAGTATACATTGTACCATGGTCTCTGACAGTGGAGACTGTGACTAAAGAACCAGTCATTACTTTGGTCTGTTGGGCACTGTTAGCATTTCCAAACCAGAAAAGGAGCCCATCCAGGAAGATGCAGGTGTTTCTTTTGCTTCCAAGTAAGGGGAGACCTTTAAGGTAGAGCTGTTCTAATGAGTGTGTCCTTGTTGTGCTGATGTGTGCCTGTACCAGAGCCATTCTTAAATGCTCTCTACAACTCTTCGGCCAGGCATCAAGATGTAATTCTATAATTAATTTTCGTTTATTTTTAGGGTTGCTTTTGTAATGAAGAAGCACTTAAATACTCACCTACTGGGCAAGCATGGAGTTGGCACCCCAAAAGAAAGGTAACTTTCATTCCTTCATATTTTGTGTTTACTAAGTACAGTTACTTGGTCTACTTTTAGTTTTGTTTAATGAAATAACTTCTCAAATTTGTGTCAATGGTTCATCTTGAATTTGTAGTTTCCTTCTTGAATGCCATTTATTAGTCAACTTTTCAGAAAAATGCAGTGAAGTTTAGAAATACTTGAATGGTATATTGACATAAACGAAACTAGAATTGGAGGGAATTGCCCCTGATAAGCACCTTAGTATATGTTAAAGCAAAGGTGTGAAACTAAACATTGTGGGTGGTGGCAACTAAATGTTGTCTTTACTGTACTTTTATTTGGGGGTTTTAAAATAACACTTGAGTTCTTACTGTAGATTTAAACTCACTGCTTATATTAAAAATGAAATATCTTCTATCATCCTCCAAATAATACTACAGTTGCCATGTCATGAAAAATAACACTACAATTATTGTGCCGTCAACTGCCAGGTTTATTTTTGCTTGGCGGTATATCATAATTAGCTTTATCATGTAGACTTAATTATTTTTAGCTGAATTGATATCTAGCAGTGTTAGCTACCAGGTAAGCATGGCTACTTCTGACAAGAAGCCTGGGAAATGTATTTATTCAGTACACCCTCAGCTTCCTGAACTATCGGCTTCTTTCTAAACTCCCAGGAAAATACTTGAGATTCTATACCCACCCAAGTGTCAGTCATGACATGCTGACAGCTCTGAAGACATCTACCAAATAACGCTAAGGCCATAGTCTTCTTAGCAATATCCAAAATGTCTAATGACCCTTTGAAAAATTAAAGGCTGTCAGTGTCCTTAGTATTAAGTGTGGTCAGAGAGGATTAGATGCTCAGATACTGGATGTTGCATTTGCCTCTGTTGCTCCTAAGCTTCATTTCTCATACATTTCATTGTAATACTGAATGCATTCTGGCAAACATACACCTAGGTAAGGAGTGTATCATAGGCAGATTATGCTTGAAATGTAGAAAAGTGTGTACTTTTAGAGAATAATTTGGATGTACCAAAGGTATATTTCAGACTTAGTTTAGAAAATGAAAAAAAAACTCATTTTTATTACTATGTTCTTATTGCTTTCACTTGAGTTATCCCAATCATTCTATATAATCTTAACTAGTACATTATGGTTTTAATTTTACAGCAATAAGGAATAGGATTCAAAAAGTTAGAAAAGAATTTATATGTTCTCATTTTTTCTCACTCAAATCAAAATCACGTTATGTTCAATTAATCTTTATTTATTATTATTTATCATGCCAACGCCTTCAATGAGAAGTTATCTATTATATAGTATACCATGAATTTGAGAGTCATAAATTTGCTGGTTGGCGTTTCTATTTAGCTTTCCTGTGCCCTTAACTCTGTAGTGTGAATTAAGCTTGAGGAATGTGGTAGTTTGAATGAGAATGGTTTCCATAGGCTCAGATATGTGATTACTTGGTCTCAGGTTGACTGAACTGCTTGGGAAGGATTAATTGGTGTGATCTTGGTGGAGAAGGTGTGTCACTCTGATGTGTCACAAGCAGGCTCTCTTCTCAGTTAATGCTTATCAAACCCCCCCCCCCGCCCCCACACACACTTTCTACTTGCTGTTTTGTATAGACAGATGTGAGTTCTCAGCTACTGCTTCAGTGCCATCACTGCCTGCTGCCTTGCCCCCAGTCTCCATGGTCATGGACTCAGCCATAGAATTTAACCCTGAATAACCCCTGTGTTCTGTGAGTTGTGTTACCCATGTTGTCTTACTACAGCAGTAAAAGAGTAACTAAGACAAAAGTATGCTCCCTTTCCTTTGAGAATGCCTCAACTAATCAGCTTTGAAGGAGGACAATTTACTTTGACTGTTAGTTTCTTTAGGATGTTTTAAAATGTGGTCACTTGGTTCTGTTGCTTTTGGTCTGTGAACCTTTGGGGGCTGTGCACAAGTTGAAGAAGGCCTTTTATCTAAGGCAGCATAGAGTAGGACATTCAGAAAGGAACCCAGGCTGTTCTTTCAGGTACTGACTTCTTCCCAGTAGCCCCGCAGCTTACAGCTGCACTACCTCTCAGTGATGCCTTAAAATGGTGACCAATATTTAAACAGATTGCACATTGGGAACACTGCAAATTTATCCATTGTCAGAACGATCACATGGCTTCCTCTCCTGTGAGATACTGCTGTTCTTTTACAGACATTATACTAGCCTTGCCAAGCAGTGTGGCAAAGTTGTTAGATTATCTGCATGACTACTTTTAAGTTCTTCAAGGGCAATATTCATGTAAACTAGATATCTTTGAATTTTTTGATTCTTTGATTCAGACATGTTTATGATGTTGTCTCTTTTTTTCCTGACATTATTTACTTGAATGATGAATCAGAATTCCCGGAGTTAGCTATAAATATTATTTTTCAATGTGTATCTGTGATTGCAGAAGATCATGGTTTACAAATGTAATCTAGTACAAGATTCCTCCTTTGTGTATGTGTGGTTTCAAGCATTACAGAAACAATGAGTTTGTTGTACCTTCAGTTTGGGAATAATGATTGTCTATTAAGTTAAAGTTTTTTCTCACCCATTTAAAACAGTTTTGCAAGCTTGCTACATTTTGATTTTTCCAGAACAATATAATCAGTTTACATTTTATGTTTGGAATTTGATTCTATTCTCTAATGCATTGCATATTATAGAAAAATGTAATAGAAATTAGCTAAATAGGCTGTGACAATTAAATTAATAATGCATTTTGTTTGTGAGTATTTAGGCCTTTTGCTTTGACTGATATATGAAAAAATGATGATTTATTAAAAACAAATCCACATACTTGCACTCTCAAGTTTGATGAACCAATACACTTTGTCAGCACGACTAGCATTTGAAGGAAAAAAAAAACCCTAAAACTTCACATTTGTTTTGAAATCTTCTGAATTCTTGAAATGATGATAACTTTCTTAATTTTTCAAATTTTGAGCGTAAACTTACATTAACTCACCTTTAGGTAGTATAACATAGTCCTTTCAAGACATTTTACACTTAAATATAAGCAATTGAATATCACCATATCTAGCTCATACTTTTAAATAATATTCTCCAATTAATTTGCAAGTCCATTCTAAAGTATTCCCTATTGTAAATGAGTAATTATGTCAGATATACTAGTGAAGGAAATGAATGTCTTTAGAATTCGTTGATTTTGTCCATAATAATCTTCAACAGAATTTTTCTTACAACTTTTAAAAACGCAGCCAGAGCAAGTGTGTTTCCTGTAAATGTCAGGTCTTTGCAGTACAGTGCTTAAAATCATCTGACTTTGAACAGTGGGGCAGATAGGAGAGGTATGATTTTTTTATGCCTCTGAGTGAATGTATGTTTTTGCTTGTGTTGGATACCATCAAGCAATATCCTTGCTGGTAGAACCTTCCAGAATGTTCATGGTACTATGTGATATTAAAGGATTTTGAATTAGATTGTCTATAATAAACATAAGGATTACATGATTCTATGGGCAGAGGAAATTCACCTACAATTTAACAGTGATTAACTAAATCACAGTTCTCTTGCTATAAGGAAGCCATGTGTGGAAGATGTCAGCACAGCTGTGTGTTGTTTCTATTGAGGCTGGAGGTTTCCTTCAGTCAACTGTACCTCAATAGTGATGTTGGCCTCTTTCATTTGACACTTGAGATTTGGGGTTAGCTGTCATTTGTAAAAGTTTATGACCCACCAAATGTAATTAAGGTTGTTTGCATGCACATGTATAGGGGCTATTTACTAGACAGACCAGGGACAACTTTTTAGTAGGTATATCCCTAAAGAAAAATGACTCCCCTCCTTCTGGAACCACTAACTGACAGTAGAGCCTCATGGAGGGAAGGGCCTCATGAACCCCCCCTCCTTTCATGCAGGAATGTTGATGGGTCCCGGGTCCCATTTTGTCCAAGTTTTGTGAAGGTAGTCATTTGTCTTAGGTTTTCTATTGCTGTGAAGAGAAATGGCGACCATGGCAACTCTTATAAAGGGGAAGCGTTTAAGTGAGGTGGTTTACATCTTTACAGGTTTAGTCCATTATCATCATGCTGTGATATGGTGGTGTACATGCAGACATGATGCTAGAGAATTAACTAGGTGTCCTACATCTTGACTTGCAGGCATGAGGAAGTGGTCTGTCTCACTGGGTATACTTGAGCATAGGAAACCTTAGAGCCCACCCTCATAGCGACACACTTCCTCCAACAAAGCCATACCTCCATTAGTACCACTTTCTTTGGTGGCCATTCTCTTTCAAACCACCACACTACTGTTGTTATTTTTGTTTTTTCATGGCAGGATTTCTCTCTGTAGTCCTACCCTGGAACTTACTCTGTAAGCCTGGTGGGCCTTGAACTCAGAGATCTGCCTGCCTCTGCCCCCGGAGTGCTTGGATTTAAGATGCATACCAAGAATGCCTGGCTTTATTATTGTTGGTTTTCATGCCACCTTGCCACTCATTAGACTCTCCCCAGTAGGGAACCTCACCTGAAGAGCATCCTGATTGCCTTAATTGATGTAGTAAAGCTCACTCCAGTTGTGGGCAGCTCCTTCAGGTAGCAGCTCAGATGAAAATGGTATTCCCAAAAGTGGTTTTCTCGATTGGCCCTCTGTGTTGCTGCTCAGTGTCTGCTGCTGCTGCTGCTGACTCCTTCTCTAGAGCCAGCCTTTTCTAGTGTTTCTTGTCCAGTAACATTCAGGGCTTCAGGCCACGGTTGGGACTGCTGGGCGCCTAGATCCATGTGTTGAGTCTGCTGGTGAGTCTCTTGTAACTGTCTTTTCCTACTCCCTGAGAGACAGCTATGCTAGAACCACTTAGCCTATTGAAGTACCCAGTCTCAAGGACAGGGTACTGGCTTCCCAGCAATCAGGTGTGATCTTTAAAGATTTTGCATGTGGGTTTTTTTTCTTTTTGTTCTGTATATATGTGTGTGTGTGTGTGTGTGTGTGTGTGTGTGTGTGTGTGTGTGTG